GCTTGAATTCATTTCTGTGTGCGTACACCAGGGTTTCTATTATTGGTTCATTCAGCAGGCATTGACCGAATTCTCTGCACAGTGAGGCCTGAGCCACACATGGCAGGGACCAGCGAGTCACCCTCATCCTCTGGGGCAAAGAACATGATGATTATGCATGTTATAGTAAGGACAATATTAGAGATTTAAGGGGGGAGTGGAGGAATCAGAGAAGAAGGGGTCTGCATAGAGATGAGCTGAATGGGTCTTGACTGCTCTCAGAGCATTTTCTGGGCTCAGTCCACACATGGTGCATGATGCCAACTCATCTGAATGTTACCTTAGGAGAACCTGTCTCCCCTAGAGAAAGCTGGAGATTCATCTTTCTCTCATGTAGCATCTCATAAGGAAATTCAGCTTCTGGAAATGGCCAAACTTTCTATCCCTGCTTGCAAGTCAGCCCCCAATGACTCTCACAGCAGAAAAAAGGATTGATCATTGGCTTGTTACGATTCCCTCATGGCATGAGCTTTGAGACCCCAGAGAGCCTGGTGAGAGTACAGCCATGGCTGATATCGTCACAGATGCTGGTGGATTTTCTGAGCCAAGAGTCAGCCTCACATCAGCTGCCCTGAGACTGTTCAATCCCCTCACATTTGAACCTTAATTCACAATAGGGAGAAAAGATGACCTTAGCATCCCAGCTGAGAGTCCAATCGCACATCTAATCACCACAAATGAGAGACACTAAACCATTGTTTCTAGTCACAGGTATTAATAAAGGAAGTCTAGTTTGTTTATGCTTTTGCTTCATCTGGAGCTAAGGAGATATCCTGGCTGTCTTCTTTGCAGGCTGAGGTGGGCTTCTAAAGATGTAAGGCAAATATACTATTGTTCCTTTTCTTTTCAACATTTTCTCAGAAAACAGAAAAACAAGCAAACAACATTAGCATGTAGGGAAGACATTCTTTCTTTTTTAGGACAAATACTTATGGAATTTTAACTTATCGCAGGGCATAGGATTCTGGGAATTGTTTGAGTTTAAGAAACATAAACCCACTATGTAAAAAGGTATAGTTCTTAAGAATCAAAAAATAATTCACAAACTCAAGTTGCAGATACAACTGAGAAGTGTAAGGCTATCAGAAGTCCTGGACAATCTCTCTTTCTTGATTTCCTCTGCTGATTCTCCTCTGTCCATCCACCCCCTGGTGTGTGGTCTACTTCAGTGGATCTCAACCTTCCTAATGCTGTGAACTGTTAATTCAATTCCTGGTATTGTGGGGTCCCCAATCATAAAATTTTTGGTTGCTACTCCATAACTGCAATTTTGCTACTGTTATGAATCATAATGTAGATCTCTGATATCTGCATTATGTGAATCTCTGATAATCTGATTTGTGAAAGATATCTGCTTTGTGATCTCCAAAGGGATTAAGAACTGCTAGTCTAATTCTTAGTTCTCCATTGCCTTTCTGTGTGGTCTTGATGTCATCCTTTTCATTTTCCGTGTCAAAATCCAGAGATGCAGAGCAGAAGAGATCTCACTGACCTGACAGGCACTGGCATCTGCCACAGTTTGAGCATCTGGGAAGATTTGGGTGGGAGACACTTTTTCGTGTTTGATGACATGGAAGATGGAATCTCTAAGCAAGTGGTACACATGAAGGAAATGGTTGGGACACTCAGGACTAGCCCCTCTGTGCTCACCTGGTCCTCCATACCCAACCCTGCTGATTGCCTCTCTCTGGACTCCAGTCACCACACTCTACAGAAGCTGTATTCCCCTTTTTTATTGAATACACCTTCTGAAAATAAGATTATTAGTACTGCAGCCTCTTGGGGCCACCAGGAACTCCCCAGACATGAGGAAGGTCTTCCTTTGACTTTCATCTCTAGCTGCTCATTCTCAGAGATCAGAGCATCAAAGCCGGGCTTCCTGAAGAATGATTTACATGAAGGGAAATTTGCCCTGTTGAACACACAGATCCATGAGTTTCAACAACTGTAACTGGTCATGTGACAACCCCAGCATGAGCATATGGAATATCTTCATATGGAATCTTGTTACGATTCCCTTGTGGCATGAGCTTTGAGACCCCAGAGAGCCTGGTGAGAGTACAGCCATGGCTGATATCGTCACAGATGCTGGTGGATTTTCTGAGCCAAGAGTCAGCCTCACATCAGCTGCCCTGAGACTGTTCAATCCCCTCACATTTGAACCTTAATTCACAATAGGGAGAAAAGATGACCTTAGCATCCCAGCTGAGAGTCTCTCTGAAAAGGTTCCTTGATCCTGTTTAGAGTCAGTCTCCTATCCCAGCCACAGGAATCACTGAAAATTTGGCTGTCCCTGTGGTTTTTGTCTTTTCTAGAATGTCATGAGAACAGAATAACAAGACAGCATGGAGTCTGCCTTCTTTCTCTGGGCGAAGTGGATTTAGATTTCTCCACATTCCTGCATCTATCAATAGATCATTTTTTCCTCTTTCTTGCTGAGTAGCACTCTTAACGGTGTGGAAGCATCACTGTGTGTATATTCAATAGTTGAAGGGCATTTGGGCTGCTTCTAGTTTTTGCTGATTTTGAAAAACTTGCTTCAGTCATTCCTACTTAGATATTTCTCTGGACATAAATCTTGCTCTCTGGGGTAAACTCATAAGAGCAAAATTGTTGTGTTGAATAGCATGTGCCTATTTAACCTTATGAACTGTTTTTTTTCCATTGTGTGAGTGTGTGTGTGTGTGTGTGTGTGTGTGTGTGTGTGTGAGTGAATGTGTGTGTGTGTGTGTGTGTGAGTGTGTGTGTACATGAATGAGGGTGTGAGTGTGGGGATGCATATGCTATGGTGTGTATGTGGAGATCAGAGGACAACCTTGAGTTTCAGTCCTCATCTTCTTCTGCCTCAGTTGTAATTGTCTCTTTCTTTGCAATATATGCCAGGTTGGCTGGCCTGAGAGTTGCCGGAGATTCTCCCCCTCTGTCTCTCCCATGGTTGTAGGGACATTGGATGACAGATATATTCATGGGGCCTAGAGGTCTGAACTCAGCCAAGACCCTCACCCTTAAATATCATTGCCTTCCCCACTGAACTATCTCCCCAGCCCTATGAAGCTCTATGAAGGGAAGTGGTACATATTATGGTAACTTTGATGTTGAAACCTAAGCCAGACCCTCCCTAGATCTATTACTTACTATCATTTATTAATGCCTACACGGTAGTAATAATGTCTTTACAAGTTCAGGGCAGTCACTTATTTTTTAAAGAGTTATTTTTATTTGTGCATATTATGTGATTATGGGGTGTATACTATGAGTGTAGTGCCTGTGGGGCCAGAAGAGGGCGCTGGAGTCCTTAGAGCTAGAGTTACACACAGTTGTGACTGCCCAACCTGTGTGTTAAGAATAGAACTCAGGTCCTCTGAAAGAGCCATCCCTGTTCTTAACCTCTGAGCCATCTCTCCAGCTCATTACTGCTTTATTATACAGTTGCATAACATCCCCGCATCTTTACATACTGTGTCCTCTCCACCATGCTCCTTCTGCTGCCTGAACATGCCCACCGCTGGTTAGGCCACAGGGCTTCCTTTCCGGGGATAGCTGCCAGTCACCATGCTCCTCATCACCTCCTCATTCTTCAGTTGCTATACTTGCTCTCTACAGCTCCTTTAGTGCTGTTAATACCTGATTTTTTCCTTTATACCATGAAACATAACTGGCCTCAGAAAATGTACCATGTAATTTTTGTTTGATTGGATACTTATTAAGATAATTTTTGACTCATTATAAATAGGTAGCCCCCTTTACTTAGTTTCCTTAACAGTCATGTTGACAACATTATAGTATAGTATTTCATACCAGGATGTGTATATTGATAAAATCCATGGATCTTATTCACATTTCCCTAGGTTTACTAATTTTTATCATATGTGGGGATCAGTGTCGACCATAGTCAAGATATATAGCAGTTCCATATCTTCCTTTGTTCTTTCATAACTATACCTAATACACACCTCTACCCTTCCAAGACTTAATTTTTGATAAGCACTAATTCTTTAACAAAATGTAGATACCTCAAAATCAGAACCATGCAATAGCTAACCTCTGGAGTTTACTTCTTTATCCCTGTGGAGATTCATCTATACTGTCATATATCAATAGTTGGTTTATTTTTATTGCTGAATAGTGTTTCATGATATGGACATACTGTTGTTTCTCAAGCATTCACCTATTGAAATATATCTGAAATAATTCCTAATTTTAGTTATAATGAATAAAACCACCATGAGCTTTCATGTACACATTGTTATATGAACGTAAGTTTCCATTTCTCTGAAATAAACTCTAAAGTGTGAGTATGGTAGGACTCGGTTATGTAAGAACTGCTTCAGACTGATAGTTTTCACGTTTGTCTCTAATAATAAGTTGATTTCAAGTTCCATCCAAGGAAATAGTCTGAGTAGTATTTGCTTGCTTGCTACCTATTTGTGTTTAATCACTGTGTATGGGGAACATTATATAATCCTTAGAACATAATTTACCACTCCATAAATATTTATAGATGAATTAAATGAGGAATGAATGGGTGGATACATGAATAAAAACTTTGACATAGAGATTAAATAACATGATGCAAGTAAATGATTCTTAGAATGCTGAGCATGGGATGAACATGGGATGAACTTCAGTGTCCCTACATAGGTTTTACATCATCATTATTGGATGTAATTTTGGTTGAAAGAGACACAGCTCACCAGGCGGTGATGGCACATGCCTTTAATCCCAGCACTCGGGAGGCAGAGGCAGGCGGATCTCTGTGAGTTCAAGGCCAGCCTGGTCTACAGAGTGA